CTGCTAGATAAATCACTGAAAAGACGAGCTAATTCAAGATCCGTGACGATGCACTCTTTATGGCTAATTATTCCACAAATATTCCAAATTACTCGCCCATCAAATAATCGTTTCGGGAATGACGCGCTTGCTGGCTCGCTGCTCTCGCTCAACGATTTCCATAAGTGACTCACATTTTCTTGTGCCTTACAAAAAAATCATATCATATCATGCAGCCCTGAATCTTTTTTGGGCCATCAACTGGTAACCCGAAACCAGTTTTAACCAAAAGTCATCCATGGCAAAGAAATGCGCAGAAATTTGGTTCGAAGCTATCGATCGGTCCATTGCGCAAATGATGGCCGTGCCACGTGTCAGTGACCATAATGAAATGATCAAAAATCAGAAATCAAAGACAAAATTTGGAATACCAGTTAGTCAGGCGAAATAACCAAAGCTGAAGATGCAGCTGACCTTGTGCCGAATCGCCGGCCAGAGAAAAAACCCAAAGCCCCCAAGAAAAAGACAGGCCAACTCGGTGACTCGTTGAGTCTTACATATATATATATATATATATATCTTTACCATATTTTTTCCCAACTCTCACTCTTGTCTGGCGTTTCTTTTTTTTTGTCCAATTTAACCCATACTTCTTCGTGGGCGTTGAACAGACCCCCGAGGGTAGCTCTTTGATAAGATATATGTTTGTGAATTAAGCCCCCGGCTGCTCAACATTGACATTGAAAAGTGTTAAAAGAAAGAAAGACTTTGACTGTGGGTGAACATGAACTGAATACGAATCGAATACGATACCCATCCATTACCTCTCAGGTGTGTGCAGTATGTAGTGCCAGGCATTCAGGAAGTAATGCGATCTCAAGATCTGACTTTGTGCATCTTCGAGCATAAAATTGTTAAGCCCGTCGAGGTTTCTGTTATGTGACTCAATTAGGCAACGGCAAACTGTAATTATAACAAAGCTTTTGAAAAAGACAGAAATAAGTAAGAGTAATTATGAATTAAATAAGCCAGTAAAGACAGTAAATGTTGGTAAGTTTAGGTAGTTAGATAATGTCTAAAACCAATTCAGGATGTATCTTACTTTTAGATACATATTTCTCCCCATAAAAGCAGTTAAGATACAAAGATACCAAATCTCAAGAACTAAAATCTGGAATTCCACGAACAAAGTAGTATAAAAAAATGGCAACAAAATGTGTCCTCCTGCGATTGCGATCTACTAGACACACCTCAACAATAAGTACACAAAGAACGCTTCAAGCAAGTTCAAAGACTTTGTCAGCTTTATGGCCACGTTGCGTGTGTTAAATGACAGGAAATTTATTTGGCCAAGACAAACGAATGGATCTTAAATCCACAACACACGCCTCTAATGTCCCCACATTACCACAAAACTTGACTCTTGGGTTCTAATGACCAACTTAAACATTATAGTACGCAATTGCCAAATTTAGTTTTACCAAAAATAAATGTTTAAACGGCGACACGGCCCTGATATAAACCTTTGACACTATCAATTAGAAGCAGGCAGAATTTTATTAACTATTAAAAATGATTATTTTTGTAACTAAAGAATACAAATCTAGGCCATGTTAAAAATAAAGCTTTTAAGAGATGATTTTATGGATGTCTCAAGAGCAAGGCAAGGCCTAAGTCATGTAAATATTAACAAGTTTTAGTAACTAACTATAAGGCTGTCTGAAAATATAGTTGAGAATACACAAAAAAATTAATAAGTAACAAAATATATAAAAATAAAATATATATTTATTAAAATATGCAATAAACTGCTTATATTTTACGTTATTTTTAGGTATAAAAGTCGAAAATGTTTAAAGTTTCATTCTGTGTAGTTTTAAAACTAAAATTGGAATTATATTATCTGCCTAGCTACTAAAAACAAATCATAAAACCCAAGCCTAAGCAGCAAAAACTTCCAAAATGGACGTCTTCAAAAAATAGTAAACAAAATCTTATTTATGGTCTGCAATGGGGTATTTATTTTTTATTTTTGGTTCTTGTGACGCAGGTGATTAAATAATTTAAGACTTTCCCAGCCTTAATTCAACTGTTAGCAGTTGGGACGCGTTGCCTGCCCTTGTATAAATATCTCTTTTTTATTACTTTTATTAATAACTTTGCCAGCTTTGATTTTGCGACGTTTCGCAATGGAGAGTGTTGAAAAAAAGCAGCAAAATAAATTTATAAAAATAGCAAAAAGGCGAAACAAAAAAGATATCCGAATAATGGCAACTATTTGACGGGGCAGAGCACATTATTTATTGCCATTATATTTATACAATCGTTTCATCAATCAAATGGATTTCAACAGCTTTGTCATCGCATTTTGGCCCGGCTTTCTGAATTGGGCCCCGCCCTCATTGTTTTCGTCGCCACTCATTATGGTCGACTGCAATCGGTATTAGTTTGTTAACACATTTGCCTACCCCGCCTGTGTCCTTACCTTCAGTTATATATATATATATATATCTTAATCTTCTTGCAAATATTTTGTGCGTTTCAAGTGCAAAGTTTGATCTTGGCCAGGCTCTCGACTCTCAATGCGAAATTCTGCGAAATTGTAAATAACCTTTGTTAGGCCAAGTACTTAATTGGATAATTTAATGAGCTTTGCGTATTATATTTGATGTTTCTGATTTTCCAAAATTTAATTTGTGTAGGGGGGGCTGAAACTTGTTTAAGTTTTTGCTTTTTATTTGCATTTAAATTTGTTTTAGATTTATTTTTGATTTTTCTACATTTGTACTTGACTTTTGCCCTTATTTAAATGAATATCTTATAATATCAGTGAAATATCGATTACCTTACCTTGCTGAACCGCTTTCCCCCGACCTATATACACACACAAACAGACACACACACACGATCACATGCTGAACGACCTTCCTTCTGATCGCCGGACAAGAATCGAACGATGAAATCTGTTTCGGCAACGACTTTCGGTAGCCGCTACCAAGTTCATCTGGCTTTTGGGGATTGGGTGAGCTGTTCGGTGGTCATGTCACCTTGATAACCCCCTTTGTCTGGCCCATCTGTTGATCTTGTTTGGCTCCAACACATCAGCATCATGTTCAGCTTCAGCCTCAGCTTCAGCTACCAACGTTAAACGCCTGAATGACACGTTCAATTGAAGAAGTACACATATATATCTTATATATATATATATCGTATATATATATATCCAACCGACCCATTTGCCATGTACTGGTGTATCGATGGAGGTTTTTGTGATGAAATGCTTACTACCAGCAAATCAAATGACCTCAATCGCTAAATTAAATTGAAAACATGTTTAAACATTAACCAGAGATCGGATGGGGGTGTGAGTGGAAAACGATTTAAGACATTTTTATTACAACTGTTGTTAAGTTTGGCTATTAAAGTTAAATAAACTTTTAACTAGGGTAAACATTATTTCTTGCTTAAATAAAATGTATTAAATGCAGTAAGATTTAGTGGGTTAAAGGCAATTCCACAAACAGTATTGCAATTCGTAGTTAAGAGGGTTAAAATGGTTAAAGTTATATATAGAGAAAGGAAATATAGTAATCATTTCAAGTTAAAACCTTAATTTTAAGGATTTTCTAGGAGTAAAGGAGGAAAGTAAACCCCATGAAAACCATTTTCTTTCCTGATTTAACAACCTGACTTGACTTATGCTTAAAGCCATTCAAATTCGTAAACACTTCTGATTTCGGCACATGCAAATGTTGGCAAACATTTCCGTTTGGAGCGGCTCCTCATGGTCATGGCCGGGTCTTGTGTAACCCCAACAGAGATTACCAAGTAGTTCCTGGTTTTTGGCCAAGGCTTCGGGGAACTGGAAGTGGAAGTGGATGTTGGATGTTGGATACTTGGTTACTCGATGCTCATGTAAGAGTTGCCATTTTCCTCGTGTCACCATGCAACCAAACAAAAGACCATTGCATGACTTAAGTTTCCATTTTCGAACTCAAAAAAACAACAAAACCGATAAAAAAAAAATGAAAGAAACTGGTTGGACATAGTCCCAGTTCCAGTCGCCGTCTCAAGTCCCCGATCTGTTTGGCAACTGGCAACTGCCAAGAAAACGAAAACAAAATAGCATAACAGCCTCAGCTTTGTGCAAATAAATCAGCCAACTTACATCGGGCACGAACATAATATAAGACTAAATCTCAGTTTGAGTCTGAATCCACAGCAGAAATCTAGTTAGGGTTATTAATTTATCTAGCTAAAGTCATTTAATTGATGAGGAATTAGGTGGTCAGCAAGGATATTGGATGTATTTTAAGTTAATCACTTTGATCTTAAGATTATGCTGATCTCCACTTTCATATTAAACTGATTTATGTTACTAAACCTTTTTTTTATTTATTTTATTTATCTAAGGCTAACAATTAGTTAAAACTAAGAGCTAACAAATGGCTAGGAGCAATAGCAGCTAGGGCCTTCAGCTCACTAAACCTTTTTCAAGTATAAAAATAGTCTTAAATATAGTTTTTAATATTGATTCATAGTTCTGTGACACCTTCTTATACAATTTGCAATGATCAAAAAGGGAATCAAAAACTTTTTAAACTAATTTTATTAGCAATTATGATCTTAGGGATATGAAAACTATTTGAGATCCTAGTCTTATTTAAGATATATTAAATTTATATTAATGTTGGCTAAATAATCTTTAAAAATATAAAATAAACTCCACAATTAGTTAAACTAACTCGAAAGAGCATCTCTGTAGTCGCTCAATCAGTAAAGATCATCAAGATGATGGCGGCATTTTGAAGTTGGCAGCTTGACGGCTGCACAGCAATTGCATAATGGCCAGTTTATTTTTTATTTTTGTCTTTTCTTTAATGTTATTACATACGCCCCGTTCACACTGGCCGAGCTGGTGAAGTGAGTATATTGCATTCCGAACGCTTCTGATGATGCCCTTCCTTCCCTTCTCTTTTCTTCCCGTTTTTTTTTTTTTTCATTTTGTGTTTGTTGTGCAGTGGACGATGCTTCCGGTCACTATACATCCGGTTTTTTCTATGGCAACAACTACTGGATGGGTTCGTTGGCCCTTTGCGATGCCATTGACGATGGCCTTATCGCTGCTCCCAGCAAGGACAACAACTCCACCGCCTCAGGCTCATCTGCTCCTGAAACGGAGACCAAGAACAGCGGCCTGCCCTTCGCCGCCGCTCATACCCAAGGATATAGCAGTGTCTACAATGCCCCGCCGCCCTTCGTTCCTGGGTTCTATGTGATCAAGATGCAGCTCAACGAGACGCTGCCTACCCAAGTGGTAAGAAAGATACATCATTAACATCATTAACAAATCCCTAAAAATATAATTAATTTTCCTTCAGCTGCGCACCATTTACGTTGGCATGTGCCTGCCCTCTAGCTGCTCCATCACAGACATTGGCCAGATGACGCCCAAAGCCCATGTGGAGCTACCTTCGCGGGATCTGCGCGTGCTGGACATTCGTGTGCCCACCGACAAGGAGTTCAACATCTGGGCAGACAAGACCTTCTGCCTGCTGATGTAAGTAGTAACCCCAATCAAAAGATCACTTTCAAAAATGCCAGAGAGACCACTAAACGATTGATCAAACATAAGGCGGAGCTTTTGGCCAGTTGGTTTTGGCCATTAGCGTTCAGTGAGTCGATTTGTGTGTGAAATCTTATTTCCCCCTCAAATCGAATTATATTAAAAAGCGAAACTCCATTTGTTTACGTTGGATATTAGCGTGGCAATATGATTATATGCTTGCCTATATGGGTTGGAAGTGCACGGAGAGAAACTATAAAGAAAATTATGGAACTTGAAAAAAGATTTAAGAGTTTTGTGTAGATTTTCTTTTAATTAATCATTGTTTTTGGTTATCCTGAGCATACCCTTCATAATTTACCTATAAACTTACCCCTTTTCTTATCCATTTCAGTGTGGTATCCAGCATAGTTCTGGGTTTGATTTGCTGCGGCACCCTGTACGAGATTTATCTGAGGCGCAAACTGAAGGAGGCACTGCGTCGCCAGGACAAGGAGATGATGAACAATAGTGAGACGAGCTCGGGAATAGGATGTGCATCGTCGGATTATAGTGACACGATGACCGCTCACGATGATCCACTCAAGCAATCGAATCACTCGCAATCATCGAATTCCCTTAAGCAATTGGATGCTTTGGTGTTGAATTTGCCACCGAATGATAATGACAGCGGTAATGGACACCATCATGATCATGATGCGGATCACGATCATCACGATCATGACGATCATCATCGCAGTGGAAGCAATAATAGCAATTCAGATGAGCACTTGGAGGGGCATCTGCATGAACCCGAAAAATTGAGTATCTACTCGGAACTGTTGCTTTCCTTCTCGGCAATAACGAATTTCAATGCTATCTGTGATCGAAATGTGGGTGCCGATACTATTCCTTGTATCCATGGATTGAGGGCATTCAGTATGGCTTGGGTAATCCTGGGACACACTTGCATCGTGGTCTTCAAGTACTCCGATAATATGGAAATGCGCAAGGAGGTGGAGCAGAACTTCTTCTTCCAGGCTATCACCAATGGACCGTTCAGTGTGGACACGTTCTTTTTTATCAGTGGCTTCCTCATCTCGTACATCTACTTCCGGACGAATGCCAAGGGCAAGCTGAATAAGCTGAGCAAGGGAGCCAATGAATTCACCGCTGGCACTGCACACTTCTTTGGACTTGTGGCCTATCGTTTCATGCGTCTCACCGCCCCCTATTTGTTCGTCCTGGGCGTGGTCCAGGTGACCATGAAGTACTTGGCCACGTACTCGATCTTCGACCCCCCGACCATGGATCATATCACCTGCCCGGATTATTGGTGGCGTAATATCCTCTACATTAACACTCTGTTTCCTGTGGACGAGATGGTGAGTGGTTGGAAGTTACTTTACGTATACTTACTATATATTTTATTCTTTCAAATCACCAGTGCATGCTCTGGAGTTGGTATCTGGCGAATGATACGCAGTTCTACATGATCGGCGCCATTATCCTGATCGTAGGAGTACGTCACTTTAAGCTCTCAGCGATTACAACGCTGGTGTTCCTGGTGCTGTCGTGGATCACTACGGCCGTGATTGCGTTCACTAACAATCATCGACCAAACACGGACGATCCCTTGGCGCTGTTCGACAAGATCTATGACAAGCCATGGACCCGCCTAGGACCCTATCTCATTGGCATGGCTGTGGGATGGATTCTGTTCAGGACCAATTGCAAGATCCGGTTGCCCAAGCTAACGGTGGCCACCGCCTGGACCCTGGCCATGCTCAATCTGTTCGTCCTGGTCTTTGGTCTGTACAAGGCCGATCTGTCACAGTTCACTGCCGCCGCCTACAGTTCACTTAGTCACTCGGCCTGGGCGTTGTCGCTGGCCTGGATCACCATCGCCTGCTCTACGGGCTATGGTGGCTATATCAACTCCCTGCTTTCGGCACCCTGCCTGTACCCCTTCTCCCGCGTTACCTATTGCGCCTATCTGGTCCACCCGATCGTCATCCGTTCTATGGCGCTAAACTCGGACGCGCCACTCCATCTGGGTGGGGATCTGATGGTGAGTAAAGAATGTCTTTGCTTTGGCAATTCATTTACTACATTTTTCCCCTTTTAGGTGGTCATGTTCTTTGGTCTGACGGTGGCCTCCTACTTCCTGTCCTTCGTTGTGTCGATGTCCTTTGAGGCGCCCGTTGTCACAATGCTGAAGATCCTGTCTCCCAGTCGAAAGAAACGCCTCGCCTAAGTGCCACGTCCCAGAACCGCCCATTTCCGATTATTTATACCCCCCATTTTGTCATGTTATCTATTTCTTGTCTCTCAATCAATGCCCACATATTTATAGCATCGACTCATCTGCACACACGACACCTTCCGATCGTTTTCTATATAATATATATATATATATACATCCTCCCGCACACACAACATTTTCCCACTCACAATTGTGTTCCAGTTAACGAAAAACCGAAAAGCAAATGAAAATGAAAAGAAAAACATGGAAAACACGACGTGCAAATGAATTCCAACTATTTTTTATCATAATTTTTTGTTTCATAATGTGTACATTTTAGTCCTTTTATTTATTCCAAAGGTTTGGAAATTTTTGCGCGTGACGATGATAAAGAGTTATACATAGTACTTAATAGTTATAATTATATGAAACTCTAGTACCTAATTTTATGAAATCATGTTGTATATACTATATGCTATATATTGTTATATATAAACCTTTAAATAAAAACTGCTACCAAATACAAAAAAAGACATTCAAGTTTCTTTCAAGTCCATACTTTATTTTCGTTTGATAACAAAACAGTTTATGAATAGCTAAAAAAGCTAATAACAATATTATAGTAAAGTTATACATACATATATTATTAACTTATTGAGATCAAATATACATTTATTTATCAACACAAATGCATATTATACTCCTAGGAGGATGGCATATATATATTTGTACCTAATTCCTTTACATTTCAGCAGTCTTTTAGGATAAAAATTATATTAGAAAACGTTAAAAGTTTTAAATTCGATTTTGCCTAGCACCTTTACTTCGCGAACGAGTCTTAATTTGGTATTTAGTATCAAAAGCCTGTTGACATTTACCCTTACACTTTTGCAAGTGTCTCTTAAGATCATCATCAGTTTTAAATGTCGATGGGCAGTGGGAGCACTGGAACGACCGGTCGTCTTTGAGCTTTTGTATTTTGACTTTAAGATTGGAGCCCTGCAATGATCGATCTTTCATGTGGATACGTTTATGAATGTTTAGAAATTGTTTGGATCGAAAGTTTTTGGAGCAGACAGAACACTTGAAGGACTGGTCCCTAGAGTGGATTAACATGTGACGCTTAAGATTGCCCGGCCGTGTAAAGGTGCTCATGCAATGGGAGCACTCTAATGTCCGATTTCTATTGTGGATTCTCAGGTGTCCCCCAAGACCGGCTTTATTGGTAAAGGTCTTTTCACAATGGGGACACCCAAACGGATATCTCCTGCAGGTGTTATCATTAATATTGTCGTTCTCATCAACATCATACTCATACATTTCAAGCTCGCTAAGATCACTCTCTGGATAAAGGATACATGTAAAAGGTTCTTCAACATCATCACCGGCATTGTTATCATTGTCAACATTGTGGTTCTCATCAACTCCATTATCAGAAATATCACGTTCGCTAGTTTCAAAATTATATTCCAGCTGCCAATTGTCTTCGATCTTTACTTCGCTAAAGAGGTCGGATTCTGTATAGGGGGGATACTCCGTCTCGAATACGTCTCCTGTTAGTGGCTCGTTCATCACTAAGCTGGGGAATTGGTCCTCATAAGAATCTTCCTGAGCTTGGTCGGATTCTTCCATGGCTTGGTTCTCATCAACTACATTGTCAGACATATCCTCCTCGAAAACGTCTCTTCCAAGTGGCTCGTTCATCGCTTGGTGTGATTCTTCCATAACTTGGTTCTCATCAACTAAATTATCAGACATATCCTCCTCGAATACGTTTCTTGCAAGTGATTCTTGCACAACTTGAACATTCGTTGATACCTCGTCCTCGCTTTTTACTACTCTGCTGTGATCTTCTTCATGATACCCATTTGTATACTCATTTTGCGCATCCAGCAGACAGGATGGGCAAATAAGCTTGGAGTAGATATCGTCTCTTACCACTGGTTGGCCGCACCACTCGGAAATGATAGTGTCAATAGAAACACGCGAGTTCGGTGGCTTACTAAAGATATTGACCATATTTTCTTGATTTACCATGCAAACACGACATATTGTCGGCTCCATGGCCTTAAAATAAAATAATAATAATGTTAGGTATTTGCTACAACTTATACTTTATTTCTTACGGTCGAATTTTGGTTATTTTGAGATTATAAAAATTCTCGAACATAAAAGACGTTTTTATTTCCATATCACAGCTGAAAAAAGAGCAGCCAACTTGAAAAGCTATCGATTGTCAACTACATTGGGGATATTCGTGAAGTTTTTTGTGGGAAAAAATAAATATAAACGTATACAAAAATAAGAAACTACATTAACCTTGAATATATTAGGCGATTTGTACTTGATTCATATAATTATTATAAAATATTTCGATCGTTATAAATGACCTGTAATACTGATAAAAAAAAAAAAAAAAAAATGTACCATATAAAGATGGTATTCCCATTTCAGTGCTGTACATTAATTTGGTATTATGTTGTAAAAGTCTTGTATTGTACATAGGTCCTCATCCAATTTTGAGTCTATCTTCTTTGTTGCAAAATTCTTGTATTGTACATGCGTCCATTTCCTATTTGGAGTCTAATTTTCATGTGTTTCGGCAGGATTAATGACCTTATCGAAAGGTTCCACCTTGTGTTTTTGCATATGGCGCTTAAGAGACTGATTTTTTTTAAAGCATTGTGAACAGACTGAACACTTAAATGGTTTTCCTGCTGTAATCGATCGAATGTGGCGCGTAAGATTTGAATTAGTTGTAAAGGACTTAGAGCAATGTGTACAGGTGTATGGTCGTTCACCGGTATGGGTACGCAAGTGAACCTTAGCGTTAGAGCTAGTTTTAAAGTCCTTCGGGCAGAGGGGACACTTGTACGGTCGTTCGTCTTTGTTTGATTTCAAGTGATTTTCAAGCTGTTTTGGTTTTTTGTAGGTCTTTGGACACTTTGGGGACTTTAAATTGTTTTTAAACTTCCCAGTGCTATTCTCCTCCTCCTCATCATTATCATTATAATGATCTTCTGCCTTCGGACTATGCTCATTTACTTGAGAATTCAATTTGGAATTTGAAATAGGATAGTTTTCCACTCCCATATCTTCATAAAGTGGTTCGTTCTTCGGTGGACTTGTAATGTCGTCTTCAGGGGCTTCCTCCTTAACTCGTACGACAAATGGACGAACGCTTTCTGCAGCACTCGAAGCCTCTGATATGGTATCTTCATCCCTGGGCTCGCGATTCTTTCCGTATTTTTGATGCAGTTCATAGGCCAGACGAGCATCACCCATACACGTAGGACATATGGTTTGCGGAAAGAAGTCGTCTCGCTCAGCGGGATAACCACTCCACAGCGAAACCATACTCGCAATGGGTATCCCCAGATCCGGTGTCTTCTCAAAGATGTCAATCATGTTATCTTTGGTCGCCAAGCAAACACGGCAGATCGAGGGCTCCATTGCTCTAAAATTGAAAAGTACTGTGATAGATACCCACGAAAATGCATATATACACCTTACGCTCTTAAATTAATAAAAAAAACAAAAATTTACCCTTAGCAGATAATTTGTTTACATGCCAATAAATATGGGAATTTAATCGGTGTTATCGATGAAGATTGAACTATTGTTTAGGGTAGTCATCAAAGCGTTTTTTATGTAAATCGATATTTAATATTAGTAATCAATTACCACATATAATTAATAGAGTAAATATATAATTAACAAATATTATTATATTAACAAATATATTTTATTTTAGTTGTTTAAATTAAATTACCATATGAACAAACAAAAACCGATAGATGTTTTCGTTATCGGCAATCAATGCGACCGGCTTTTTCGCTACCATTTATCGGCTTGAGAAATAAATCGGAAATCTTTGAGTACAATTTCCCCCAACTTTGGCATCGCAACCGCCTCCCACTGCCCACCACTCACCATTCTGCCGGGCATTGTCAACACCTAGAAAAGCACCGAAATGGGACTGCCCTCAATTTCGACGCTGCTGGGCGTGGCATTCTTGGCGTACATCGGACACTCAATCTATCAGATGTCCCAGCTCTTCACCACTCTTCAGTGCAGTGGAGTCCCCTGCTACACATCTTTCCTAGCGGAACGGCCACGCCTACAACTGGCACTGTTTTCCTCCCTCAGCCGCAGTCCCATTGCCTCCGAGGTCCGGGACCTTTACAAAGCCAAACGATTCGATTACGATCAGAGCTTTGAGCATGACTTCGAAGTGGATGTGCCGCTTAAGACGCGACGCAATGGCTCTCTGTACTTTCATGTGGTTTTGGCCTTGGAGGGTGAACCCCTGGAATGGCGAAGTCTGCGGAGAGATGGACCCACCGTTGTTCATACTATGAGTCTCACCGAATACATGGTGCCGCGTGCGGAGGTCTTTAATCTACTGGGAGATTCGGAGAAAGGAGCCAGTTCTGCTGTCCAAGCAAAGGGAAAGAAGCAAAGCTCTTCATCTGGACGTCCCAGCACCCACATCCGGTCAAATGTATACGTAACCTTGCTCACCGATCTCTTTTCCGTTTCGCAAGAGGATGTCCCACCGGAATTGGCACCACTGATACGGGTCAATCGAATGCAGCAGATCCTGCCCATCCTCCAGACTGATACATTTAATACACGACTCAAGGATCTGGTGCCCGTCACCCGAAACACCACCGAGTTCACCTTCAGTTTCCATTACAAACCTGTGGGCGTGGGCAAACTCCGGTTGATGCTACTCATGGAGCATGCCACGCAGGCCCTGCTTACCACCGGATTTGCAACTAAAGACATTGATGAAGTGAAAGGCATCTTCTCGGACACCAATGTGTACTTGCTATGCGGCACCATCTTTGTGTCCAGCATTCATGTAAGTAGTTATCTTTAAATGGATATGGAATGATCTTGGTATAATATTCACATGCGCATGCTATTGCAAAGCTAAAAAGTAATGGTACGAGCAATAACTGATTTAGGTTCACCTTTTCCGCAGATGCTGTTCGACTTTCTGAGCTTTAAGAATGACGTGGCCTTTTGGCGAAAGAAGCGATCTTATGAGGGCCTCTCGAGTAGCACAACTATGTGGCGGGCGTTCTCACAAATTGTAATTTTTCTGTATCTGCTGGATGAGAATACCTCGTATCTGGTTGTTGTGCCTGTCGGCCTGGGAACGCTCATTGAGCTATGGAAATGCAAGAAGATCCTACGTCTGGAGCTAAGTTTCAGCGGCTTTATTCGACGCAAGCTAGAGGAGGTAGACCGGCGGAATGGTAAAACAGCCGACGCAAAGACCGGTCAGCTGGCTGAGGAGGAGAAGACCGACCAGTTGGACAGGCAGGGCATGCGGTATCTGAGCTACCTACTGTATCCGCTGTGCCTTAGCGGAGCGGTCTATTCGCTGCTTTACCAGCCGCATCGCTCCTGGTACTCCTGGACGCTCAATTCGCTGGTTAACGGAGTCTATGCCTTTGGGTTCCTCTTCATGTTGCCACAACTCTTTATTAACTACAAGCTCAAGTCCGTGGCGGCATTGCCGTGGCGTGCATTTATGTACAAGGCATTCAATACCTTTATCGATGACTTCTTTGCCTTCATTATCACCATGCCCACGGCCCATCGGGTGGCCTGTCTGCGCGATGATATTGTGTTCATAATCTATTTGTATCAGCGATGGCTATATCCGGTAGACAAAAGTCGTGTTGATACAGGCCTGGTCATTGGCGAAAACCTGGATACTGCTAATGCCACATCATCAGCTTCGACAGCGGCCAGTCGTAAAAAGCGCAACTGATCCTATGTCACCAAGAGAAGCAAAGATGGCACATTCCGTCTATAGCTGGTAGGTCTAGCCTAAGCTGTAGTCCATTAAACCAACTATTTAAAACTTGTGTTTAAATAGTAATTAAATGCTAAATATAAATGGAGTGTTATTATTGTCTCTTCATAGGCAATGATCTCACAACCGAAACACACATTTTATACAATTTTAAAACCAGAAAAGAACACCGCAAGGGTGCAAAACTACCGAATTACCACATATTTTTAAAGTGTAAGTTAAGATATTACATGTAGTGACTTAAAAGGCGGTCAATCTTCTTCCATACTGTTGGATTGATCACCTAAGAAGTTAGAAGGTATATAATATAATCCAATGTAGATCAATATGTGTTTTAGAAACAATCAGTTAACATGAATTCATAAAAGCGATCAAAAATTGATCCTAGAATCTCAACTAACCAACACAAAATGCATTTTATAAAAGTTAAAAGGAACACAAAAGCATTAAAAGGCTGCATCAATATAGAAGCAAATATAGTAACATAATTTAGAAAACTATAACGCTAATAACAATAATAGAACAAAAAATAGTCAACTGAAAGATCGGTTTTTATATTTGTATGCCATTTTATTAGCTTACTGTTAAGTCCAATATTTGTGCTGGATGTGTGTGTTGTGGGACTATAAGGACGTGGGATTTTGGTTGTGGAGAGGAATCGTTTTCAGTTTGTTGAAAAAAAAGGGACATATATTAGGCTTAAACTAAGCTGACGAAGGAAAAAGAGTTTGCCGTGCGCACGGTTTTACGGATGCCAGTTGGCGTTGATTCCACTAATTAGCTGCTGAAGCAGATCGGCGAACTATTCGCCTAGCCATTGCGTATGCCCAACGCCTGTTCCAATTCAGCCCTCTTCTGGTTAACCTTGGTGAAGAAGTAGCGCGAAACGGCCTCGTGCGTCCACGGCTGGTAGTAGAACTCCGCCCGACGCTCTTCCTCCGGATTGCCAACCACATCGGTCATCAACTGAAAACATAAAAAAGATTTTTAAATCTTAATGAAACTCAAGGAATACCACACTCACCTTCAGATCTCTCGTCTGACTGATGATCCAGCGATGGATAAACATTTGCGGATCCTTGGCGAAGCTTAGGAAGAACTCCCTGTTCGTCTTCATCTGATTAATAGTGTCCACCGTCTCGTGTATCTTCGTGTCCAGGCCCTGGATCTCTTGTTGGCTGGCAGTACTCATCAGGAAGCTATTCATCTGGTTTTTAAGCGTGTCATCCACCTCTACATCAATGTCATAGCAGGCGGTCTGCTTGTTCTCCGCACCGCTTTCAATAAAATGATTGATCACAATCGGATCGGGCGGATGTAGCAGCGGATTGAGGCGTTGAGGTATCTCGGCAAACTTCATTCGCTGGCAACTGAATATTTGCTCCAGATACTTATCGCAATTGATGTATTCCCGTTCGTGGGCATCCTGCAGCTTGTGCGTTTTGATGTACTGCCATAAAGCGGAGATGATCACCGGCCTAGTCTGCGTGTGCACGCCTAGCAATCTGGCGAGTCGCGGGTCCAGCTTGAACTGCAGCGGCTGGTAATCAAGCAGCAGGAGGATGGTGCAGCGCACATTGCGATCGCCCGGCCGCTTCACCTGGAATCCGTCCGTCTCTTGCGTGGTGTGGGTGCGATGCCACTCGACCAGATGATTGTCCGGCCCGTATAACTCCTTGTCCAGTTCAATAACCAGCGATTTGAAGAACGATGAGAACTTGCGCTTAATCTTCGTATTGGGATCGCCCTTACCATCCTCTAGCAAGCGGCCCTCAACCCGCAATTCCCAGGAGGCGACGGCTCCCTCTTCGCCATCGTTTGTTGGCTCCTTGCTGGGATAGAATGTGTTTGAAATGAAGATACGCAGCTTGCGCTTCTGCTTCATGGGTCGCTTAAGGGCCTCCTGAATATCTAGACGCTTGCGCATGATTGTGGCATCCAGTTTTCGTTCAAACGTCAACAGATCCATGTACGCCTGCGACTCGGGTACCAGATCCCTCACCTTTTGCGGCAGAATCTTATCCGCCAGCTTCTTCTTCTTCTTGGCCGTAACAAAATCACTTTTCCCACCGCCACCGCCCAAACTGCGGGATTCATTGGATCGCTTGCTCCCACCGCCGGATCCAACGCCACCGCCAGCGGCACCTGTGCCTCGTAGACTGCTCTGAAAAGCCGGCTGTTGGGCAGCACGCTGGAGTAGCGATGGCCCAGGAACGCCGGGCACTCCTGGAACTCCCGGTACACCGGCCACGTTTGCTGTGCCTGGAACCGGTTGCGTTGTATTTGGATGAAGTGGAAATCCGCGTGGCTGTTGTGAATAAGATTATCCGGTTATTTGGCACGAAGAGTTCATGAAAATCTGAGGAAAACTTACCGGAAAAGTGGCGCCTGGCGGCGGATAGGGACGCATACCGGGTGCCGGTGGCGGTGGCTGATACCGCGATTGCCCTGGCGCTTGGCCAGGTGCAAAGCGTTGCGACATCTTCAATGGTTCTTCCTTCCCTTGTTTCCGACGGTAAACACTTGATTTTTGCAATGAAAATAAATTTTCTGGCTTTTTGTTGCACTACAACAACGCGTCACACACACAATTTCGCCTGTAAAATGGCGTCAAAACAGGGTTGCACACTATAGCCTAAACGATAGGCTACACATTTTTACCCAGGGCCGCAATCGATAAACACCGCAACTATGACCAGGGGTGCACTATAGTCGATAGACAACGCTATTATGAGCAGGGCTGCAGTATAAACTGATAAAAAACGCAATTTTGAGCAGCGCGCCTATCAATTTTTGACCAGGGCTACAATCGATAAACAACGCAATTTTGACGAGGGCTACACTATAGTCGATAGGCAACGCCATTGTAAGCAGGGCTGCAGTGTAAGCCGATAAGCAACGCCATTTTGAGCTACGCGGCTATATAAGCGGGAGCGATAGCCATCGAAATTTAGTACCAAATTTGGCTTCGGTATGAGCGGAGGTGCTTGTGAGTCGGCGCAATTTTGAGCAGGTCTGCGATATCAGTGAAAACGATAACTACCAAAGTTGTAGTGTGACCACATAATCGTGGATATATAATCTGAAGTAGAAAGCCACACTAGCCAAAACACAATTGTCATTTTAAAATCAACTGCTTTGTTTTATTCAGAAAAGAAGTGATACAAATGGAGGAGAGTTGGTGGGTGGCGAATATAAAGGCTCTGGAGTCGAGGCCACAGCGCCTGGAGGCGCTAACCAAGATGAATACAGCGATTGGTAAGGAGACAGCCCTACCGCGCCAAATCATCGGTCGACTGATGACCACGGCCGAATTGTATGATTGTGCCAATCCAGAGGTGGATTCTCAGACGCCCAAGGATCAGGCTGTCGATGTGGCCCTGGAACTGTTGGGCCACTGCATCGATCAGCTGGCTGTGGACACCGCCGACGAGCAGCTGCCTAGTTTGCTGGGTCGTGGCCTGGCCCACCCGAATCCTGCCCTGCGTTCTTTGGTGCTGGCCAGCGTTCTCAAGGAGCTGCGCCGTCAGTTGAATGCCGGTCAGGTGCACACGCTTCCCGGCAATGAGCTACTCTTTCTCATTCTGGATGAACTGAAGCAACCGGAGACGGATAGCAGTTCCCTGGCCATTAATATACTGTCTATTGTGCTTGTCCAGCGACTCAGCGATGCCGGCGTACAGGCCAAGCTGGTGCAGCTTCTGCAGCAAAACGAAATCGTGCGCTGTCGCACCTACGAACTGGCCGTGGTTCTAGCGAAGGGCAGCGCCACCTCCCTCAGTGCCGTAGAGTTTATCCTGGATGCGGCGCTCAGCGAGTTGGATAACGATGATGTCCTTCTACAGGCCACCGTATTGGAGATCCTGGTGCCACTGGCCGAACAGAACCATGGGCTGTCCTTCATGGAACGCCGTCGTGTTTTTGATGTGATCAGCACTAGAGTGCAGCGCATCGAGGAGAATCCATTGGACGCTCTGCTTATACCGAGTATTATGAAGTTCTTCGGAAAGATTGCCGCCGTCCAGCCGCAAAAGATCATTGTCGGCTATCCACACATGCTAGCCTGTTTGTTCCAGCAGCTGCAATCTGAGGATGAAACCATTTTGCCGACTGCCATGGACACGCTGGCCAATTTGGCCAGTACACCGCAGGGCAAGATGCTGCTGCACCTACATTTTAACTTGGCCATGGAGCAGTCATTTAAGAAATACGGTTCGTACACCAAGAAGCTATCGGCGCTCATTAAAGAGCGCCTGCTGAACTCGTTAGATGTGATTTATGCCACGGAGACACCTCCTACCAAGGAAATAAAGTAAGTTTGATTAAGAAATTTTGCATTTACCCTGTTGACAAGTCTTTTCTTTGCCAGTTCAATTCTGAAAACCTGGTATGAAAGCTTTGCTGGTGGAGCACAGGCGAATGTTATCATGGACCTGATTAACACGCCATTCCCTGACCTCCAGTTGGCCGCCTTGGCTCTGCTAAAGACTGTCTGTAAATATGCCTGGGGCATTGTTGCTCTAAAAAACACTGGCGGTGCTGTGGAGTTCCTGCTATCGCGGCAGAAGGATCTGCACAAGGACGTCAAGTTCCTTAAATGGGAAATCATGGAGATGCTATCCGTTAGTGCCGAGTTTTCGCCAACCGAAACTGTTCGTTTCTCGGCATATGTGAACGAGGGACCCTATCACATCCAGGCGGATGTGAATATAGCCACCGAACCGCAGGGCAACGCCTAAAGAGCGTAGATGCCAAGCATTTACCGCTTTAGATTATAAATCAAATGTACAGCGACGGGTTCAACTAACATCTGAATATGTATTTATAGAATTACAATAAGATTTAACTATTAGATCACATGTAACAATGCCCCATGGGGCAGGTCGAATTGATGGGGATGCAACAAATAGTCAGAATATTCTTTGGACAGTTGTAAAAGGATTGCCTTAAAACCGATTGGTAAAATATCAAATGGTGTAATTTATATAAACAGGCATCCTTTTTTTTAAGGGGCAAAATAAATTGTATTAAATCAAGAAACTAAAATATCGAAACAAGCTTGCACAAAACCAAATATGTACGTATAATACCAACAGTTTAAGGCTCCAATTACTTGGAAGTGTCCAATGGCTAAGCCGCCCACCCTCTTGCCCCATTTAAATGTAAGTCTGTTGATCTCGTGCTCCAGTTTTGGCCAGATTTCGGCCCTTACAAATAGCTCATTTGTCTATGGGACATTCGTTTTCGTCCCGATCCGCCACCAATTCCGCCGCCCAAATGGGCGAGGCTAACACTTAGCCCGGATTCATATGCCGTCTGGGTTTGTGATCGGGTCTCATTGTTCACCAGCGAGCAACTGGGCAAAGTGTGACAATAGCGTCGCAGCTGCTGCTTAAAAGCCGCCGTGGTCAATGTGTAGAGTACCGGATTGAGAGCGGAGTTCACGGGCAGCACCAGCACCGCCAGCCAGGCATATAAATCAGGCGAGATCTCACAGCCTAAATAAGGTAAGTCCAATTTACATATTTATTTAGTTTTTAGTAGACAGTAAGATAACTATTTACCTGAGAGGGCAGCCACTTTGACCACAATTATAGGCAGCCAGCAGGCGCAATCGGTGGTCACAATGATAGCAAAGCTATAGGGAAGTGTATTTATTATTTGATCAAATTTGAATTAAAAGTTGAGAAATGAATTCCTCTAAATTGTCGAAACCTACCGAGTTGCTACCACGTTCTCTCGTCCGCTGTGAGTGCTTCGCATTCCGCCACCGGAATCTCGTATCGCCTGCAACATCCTTATGTAGGAAAAGAGAATGAAAACCAGAGACAAAGTGTTGACCAGGATGAAAAGTAGCGCTGAATACTCCCAGCCCTGTTAATGGAATTTAAAGAATAGATTGCGGAAGTTTTCTAAAATGATAATTACCTTTGCGTAGGGATCGTGGATGTGCAGTGACAGGCAGACACCATTGTTTCCATAGAAGTGGTTTCCAAAGTAGGGATAGGAAAGTAGTGGAGCTGCAGCCAATCCAAAGCTTATGCCCCATAGTAATAAAAGGCGAAGGACAATTCTAGGAAAAGCATAAATTAATCTCTTTAATAAATACAAACAACAATCAGTATATTAAAATAACACTGTCCACATGCAATCCAAGTAGTTTGCCTTCTCCAAAGTCAAACAAAGTTTGAAAGGTAAACACAAATATGTGCGTTTTGATATTTGAGAAGTTAATAAATCAAAAAAGCACTTAAGCTTTTTGGAAAAACTAATTAAAATAATGATGGATAAAGAGAAGCTTGATTGTCTTACCAAGCGTAATCAGACTTTAATAGAATTTCACCACTTACCGAACTTTTTCGGTATCCCGGGGCTTGAGGGGCCTCGTCACCGACATCAGACGATCCCAGGTGACCAATGTTAGTAGCAGCGTCGACGATTGGCAACTAAAGGTGCTGAGGAAGCCTACACGTTGGCGTATACATAATTCACATTAGCAAACCATTAAGGAATAAGTGGAAGAGGCTTATGGAGCAGGGTAATAAGGGAAGGATACGCACCTGCAAACGCACAGACACCGCTGTGCCGCCAGGCCTCCTCGTATTTGATGTACTCGCCGCGGAAACTAATGTCCGCACAGGCAATCAACGTCAGGTAAATGCCCATGAGGAAGTCACTGGCGGCCAAATGGCGAAGGTAGAGCGAGTGCTCCACATTGCTCCGTGACTTGTAGAAATAGCGTCCGAGCAAGACCAATAGATTGCCCACCACGGCAATGGAGGCCATCACCCAGACACTGTTTTTGAGGAATAAAAACACAAGCACAGATAGAAAATATTAGACAGACGTAATGAAACATTTTTAATATTAATTTAACCCTGATTTTAAATGTATATAACTATAAAGTTCTATATTTTTACTATTAAAAATCGTGACAAGCTGAATAGAATAGTTAAATACCCTTTGATATGTCATTTTATGTTCTTACATTCAAGTTTTAATCAAATTTTGATATAATGTAATTAAATCTTGCAAATTTACATAAATATGATGAACTCTTAATGTTTACATTTTAATATCTCTATTTTTTGAGTGTATAACTTATAAAAAAAGTAAATAGAATCACTTTTGACCTTGAGTTGGGCAATTGTCGTTATGCTGCTACCCATAAATTGGGGCAATTAAAGGAAATTTAAGTCTGCCCCGTGGGCCCAGTACTCTTTGACCTCTGCGTTTGTGGCAATTGTCAGGGTGTCTCATTATTGCAGTTCTGCTAACTGAGTAGGTGTGTTGGTCACGAGGCCATCTGGATGCTTGAGTGGAGCGACGAGACTTGGGCACAAAGGATGGGTGGTGTACACAAAGCACAGCACAAAGGCAGGAGCAGGAACAGCAACAGTAATATCTGGAATATCAGCCATTCACAGGAGCAGAAATGGCAACAGCCGAGCTGTGATTCAATGACAATTATAGACACTGGCCACATGATGGTTATGCTTGGAGGTAAAGAGACCTGTAATTTATGCCAGTGTTCCGCTTCCCATTCATTGCCATTCACTCTGGGCACTTGATGATGATTGGCCGTCATCAGGCTTGACCCAAGAAACTGCTGGCTAGCTGCCAATTTATCTAAATGCTTATAAAATTAAAAGGAGTTGCAGCTCTACTCGACAAGGCCAAGGGTCATCCTTAAAGGTGTAAAATGTGGAAAACAAAGATGGGGCTATAAGCCCATGCCTTTGAAGGTTTTAAACTTTATAAAAAGGGTCATTAAAAGTAAAAGAAGTTGAAATGAAGCAACACCTGAATCTATGGCCTTAAAACCTTGCTTAAAATCTAGGAAAATTCTCCCCATAAAAGATTCAAAGTAAGTCAGGGAGGAATAGCAATTTTTGTTTTACAAATCGGGGGTCACCCAATCAAACGAACTGAAGGTTATTACGGGCATCCTCCCAGTCTGCCTGCAGCAACAACGAATTAATGTTGTAAATTCAGGGAAAGAATCCCTGGTGCAAAGCAGCCACTTTCAACATTTCGAATGTGGGAGTGCAGTTGGAAAACGAAGGCTGAGAAAACCAGGTGGCTAATAAAAGTAGAGACCACCAGTCGGTTGAGAGGAAAATTAAGGCAGCCGGAAAAACGGTAAGCGCACCGCCAACGACTTGAAGAAAAACCTAAAGTATTTAATTTTTATGAAAACGTCAACTTAGAAATAATGAAATAATGTACTAAGCACAAAAGTAAATTCTCGCTGGCACCGGCATCCTTGTAGCCTTGTAGCCTTGTAGCCCTGTACGTTTGGATCCCTTGGATCCCAGCATCCTAATGTTTGTCTGGCTGTATGTGTATGTTTGTATCCATGCACATGTTGGTGTTTGCTTTTTCGCTGGGAAAACCCCGAGATGAAGATGTGGACGTGGATGGAGATGGAGATGAAGATGAAGATGTAGACGGCGGCATGCAGAGTGTGTGTAAAATGTGTAAAAAGCAAACAAATAATACCGATGGAAGGAAGGAACGTAATTTTCATTTTCAACAGGAACACATCCTAGACGCCGACGACTACGACGACGACGAGGAGGCGATGGCAGGCAGCCAGATAATCACTCAGCAGACTTGATGACAAGTGACTGCCGGTTGCCGGTTGCCAGTTGCCAGTTTCCAGTTGGGAGTTCCAAGTTTCCCGGTTTTCAGTTTTCAGTTTTCGGATACCACTTGCCAGTTGTTGATGTGTCTACTTATTTGTCTTGCCAAGTAGCTACTTGCCTAAAATACCAAATACGGATGCCAGCTTGATGTTTAGACACCGGGGGTTCTAGCTACTTGAAGAGGCAGGATTTTGGGTGTTGAGTGATTAGAACGAGAAATGAGGCTTATGGAGATGGGCTACCCATAAATTAAATATTAGATTATGCCCAACTAATCGTGACCCCATCTTGAGCAAACCCAAATTAAACTTAATCAAACAATTTATCACAAGTTTCCTAAGACCTTCTACTAATACTGCATAAATTTAGTTTAACTTTGAGTTCACTTCTGATTTTCCCAGCAATTTTCCTCGTAGGCAGGACAATGCAGTTCTCTAATTACAAAGCCAGCTTAGATGAACTTGCAATTGCACCGAGACTTCGAGGGTCATAATGACAATGATTTAATTGCAGTTTAATGAACGAGATTTACACACAGACCGCAGTTGGAAGCCCAAAAGCTTTCCCGTTTGCTAGGAGGTTTCCTCAAGCTGTTTGCAAGGGCTCTTAGCCTGATTAAATCGAAATCATCTTATGTATATGGATGGACCTAGTAGGCAACACAGACACTCACCTGCCCCTCAATATCTGATTGTCCAGCAGATGCAACTTACTGCTGATGCCATCGCCATGTGGATCGCAGACCCGGACATTCATGGCGGCGCTGCACAAGTGGAACCACGAGAAGTAACTGCCAGGGACAGATAAACAAGGGTATGGGTATATGGCTCATAACCATTACAATTTGGTTTTGGCTTACTTACATATAATCCAGGCTGCTCAGGTTCTTTAGGACTCGCGGATCGAGGGTCTGGAAACGATTGCCCGTTAACAGCAGGGAGCTCAGGTTCTTTAAACAGGCGAAGGCCTCCAGGTCGAATCCTTCGATGCGGTTTTCATTTAGATGTCTACAAAGGAAATCGGAGAAAAAGGCCAAAAAAAAAAGACATTTGGTTTTGGGAAAGTGGTTAACACATCAGAGCAGTGCGCGGGTTTATGGGCCAACGCATAAAAGCCAAGCATTTCGCTTGTTTTTTTTTTATTTTCTTTCTTCTGTTTTTTTTTTGTTACCCTCTATTTGCATTTAGAGATTGGAAAAAAGGAGCTGAGAGCTTAGATTCCGGGCATCGGGCTAAAAGTTTCATCATTAAAGTTGCCCCACCGATGCCGTGGCACGTATCCGGTATTTGTCCGTCCGTCTCTCTGATGTTTTTCTTAGATATCTCTCTCTATATATTTTTGCCCTGCATACAAATCATTCCACACAGGCCTCCGCCTCGAAGCCGTCTCAATATGCATCACATGAAAAGCAGTGGAATGTTTTTGGGGCGGACGGGGTACTAGTATAAACTAAGGATGAGTTTTTTTTTGCTTAAATGAAAAACTGTCAGCTTTTTGGCTTTGCATTCTTCGGCCTTGAAACGCCTCATAGCCCACATAGCATTATTGATAAATTAAATTCCTCGGCCAAAGCGAAACTTAAACGGCAATAAATCCAAATGACACTTTCTGCCACAGCCGCCTTTCCCTTCCCGCTGTCAATCTCCTCATTCCACCAGGCTCGGGATCAGAAGTCTTGGAAATCAGGGTGCGAGGTCTCAAAAGACCTCTGGTCATGGGTCTTATGGTGGATGGGTAGATGGGTAGATGGGTAGATGGGCAGATGGAAGCCAGAAGCATAAGGAAAAATCCATCAGAGGTCGGAGTTGTGACACTTGTTTGCTCGATGCCCTGTATTTATGACTAGCTAGAGGGGCGTATTCGAATTGGAAAGAGGTTCGTAGTTAGAACTAACTCTCTACTTTAAAGAGTTTAAATATCTATATAAGAAACCTCTATCTAGGCCTGCCTTAGCTTACAGGGTATTTTTAAAGCTTTCCCCTTAACCATAAACAACTTACAATCCTTGTAGATTGCTGAGATTGCAGAAGGTTTCGTCTCGTATGTGGGATAATCGATTGCCAGCCAGAAATCTGCAATCGGCAAAGGATTGATATATTTATAGGTAGACATATATGGAGAGGGGGTATATATATCTATATAGAGATATTTCACTCTTCTTCAGTTATCAACTCACAAGTGTTTCAGGCGTGGAAAGGGAAAAGTGTTGGCGGCAATGTCCTCGATCTGATTATGGGCCAAGGACAAAGTGTGCAGTTTGAGCAGGGTTCTCGGAAAGCTATCTGAATCCAAATGCTTCAAGTGATTTTCATTGAGATAGCTTTTGGGATATATAGAATATATATATATTTATAAAGATTTGGTGCTAATGAGCTATACTTACAGAAATTCTAAGCTCGTTAGATGGGCAAACACTTCGGCTTCGAAGTTTCCAATGCGATTGCCACGCAGATCCCTTTAAAATATATCCCATTAGAGTGTTTATATATATATATATGCCATTTTAAAGTACTTACAGCTCCTGCAGCTGGTGTAGATTCAGAAAATCACTGCGTTTCAGGTGATGCAGTCGGTTGCGTGCCAAAATTCTGACCATCCACCCCGAAAATCATATGAAATAGATAAAAAGTCTCATTTTAATGCTGAAAAGTTGGCAACAAAAGCTGCTGCTGCAATTGCATTGCAGCCAGTGAAAAGTCTGGACATATATCTCGATTTTAATTAGCCATTAAGCGCAAGTAACAAACGCCCCACGAGAAACACTGCACTTTCACCCCAGCGAAACCATTGCCTGGCCAAATTCCAGTACTACACTAAAAGAAAAAGACTTAAGATACAGAGATCCCTTAGATATATTTAATGTTATTTGGTATTATCTGAAGGGAACTATCTTTTTGATATGAGAATTATATTAATATCAAATGGTTAATATTTATATTTACTAATCTGATAAAGTATACAAATAATAAGCTAGCTAAAATCCCAAAGCATAATCCAAATTTAAATATAATTTCGATCTTCTTAAATTTCTTAGTAATCTTTTTTCTATATGTGTATGCATTGTCAACCGGACAGAGAGCCAAGTTTCAGGCCAATGCCAAGTGCAGCTGGTCCTCCGGATTCGGTGGCGCCGGAGGCGAAGTACTACGGATATATCTCCCTCCCACAATTCCGAATCCGCCTTCCGCCGCAAAAGTGTAACTGAGTTGTTTATGTGTTTTTGTGTGTGCCGGCAGTTTTGTCTATTTCCCAGGGTATTACGAAGGGTATAACGAATGCTAATCTATCATTAAGAATGTCGCGTAATAGAAATGATATTACTTTATTAGAAAAGGCTATCTAATTTTGGTACTTTCTAAAGGGAAAATTTGGCACAAATTTTGGTAAAACTTATTTATTAGCTGTTAAATATTTTAAAAAATATATATAGATATCTTTTATATACTCATTATAGGTAGTAAGATCTAAATCCCATTATTATATTATCCAACTTCCCCAAAAAGGAAAACCTTACCGATTCGTTCATAACCCCTAAGCTGACCTTGTTTTAGCCTTTTACCGCCTGCCCTTTTGCCAGCTGACGTTGTTATTGTTTTTGGACTTTTAAGGCGGGGTTGGGGAAATGGGGGCGTGGGCACCTCGACTCAATGCACAAAACAAGTTGAAAACTTTTTACCGTCTGTGCTAATATTTTTATGCTTCGAGGCCGCGCGGCGAGACAAAGGGGAAATTACAGGGAGGGGGTGGAAAATGGGTGGAAAAATAAGAGGAAAAAGCGGCACAACAATGAGGCAGGAATGCGATGCCACATTGTCAGTCGATTGGGCAAGAGGTTGGCTTTAATCTGGCAACAATGGGCCAACTTTATGGCCCCCAACAAAGGTTGACAGCAGTTGTGATTGCGATTAGCATCGTGTGTGGGTTTTCACTGTACCGCCCAATTCTCATATGAATTCTGATATAATCGACCCTCTACGGTTATTGGCAATTACTGGATTTTTGTCATTTAGCACCTCCGGCTGGCCAAAAAATAATGGCTTTTAATCTTTCTCTCTCTCTCTGTCCTTCGAAATTGGCTGAATGCATTTTTGTAGTTTGCAAGCCTAAAGTTGTGCATTGGAAAATTGTTAAAATTTAAGCCAAGTTTTGTGCTATTTTCCCTTAATTTGATTTATGTTTAATTAGCATTTATAGGCACATACATAAATCGGCAATCGTTTTGCCATTGCACTCATTTTTATTGAAATATTTTTATTAAAATGAATGGCTGGGAAAGCCAATGGATAATTCTCGTATAAATAAGCCAAGCCACTAATGCAGGGCTAAAATGTGGACTACACAGGAAGTTCGATGTTATATGCTAATGCAGGGAAATAAAGATTTAATATATACTAAAAACCAATTTAAACTGATTTGAGGAAAACTAACTTATAATAATTGGTGTTTTTTTACTCGAAATTCTATCCTCCTTGTAGCCAATTTACATTTAGCTAATATTAATGCTACCCAACCGGAAATCGATCATAAAGAAGGTGGTGTTAATTCCGAACGTAAATGGCATAACCCGCATTAATGAATATCGACTGAACGGAGGATACTTACAGAATCCTCAATTGATTGCCCTCGGGGAAGAAGTGTTCCGGCAGATGCGGTAATTTATTATCGTCCATATAACTGGAAAGTAAGGACATAACGTTCATAAGTTGGCAGAGTGAGGTGGGGAAAATTATTAAAGAATCGACGACTGCGATGGAAAAGATGATGGGAAAAACTGTTAAGTGCACATAAATAATGAGACTTAATTATGAGTTATTGTTGGGAGCGGGTCAAGTTGCTGGGCAAAAGGATACTCACAGGGTCCTCAGTGGGTTGTCCGCCAGTCGATCGAAAGCATGCGAGGCAATCTCACGGATTGAGCAGAACTTTAGTACTCTGAAAGCAAAAAACAGGCGACAAACTCGAGTGAATAAAACGTAATAAATATGAGATTCAATTGTAAACTTGCCACAATGGGTGTCGGCTAAAAAGAACTTCCCCACATAGCTATTATAGCTACCATAACTTTTCAGACTCCCTCGTCCCTCCCTCGGCCACATCCTTCAGAATAAGATATGTATAATAATGCGCTTTGTTTTCTCCGTGTCATTGTTTTTGGCCCCAAAAACTTCGCTGTTTATTTGTATTTTGTATGTGCAAATGCGGGCTAACAAGCGATGAGCTCCAAGTCCAAGTTACGTCTTCATTAGGAGCCCCAAACTTTCTCCAATGAATTAATTTGCACTTTGTATTAAATTTAAATTTCAAAAACATTTTACTTTACATTTTACATTTTTAAGCTTAATATCGTTTCTTTTTACAATTTCTCTAAATATTCACTTCTGTTTACAACTGTGTAAAGGTTTTGACTTAGAGGAGAGGCGCAATAGAAGGCGACGATAAGCAAAACAAATATCTTTAAAGATCCGTTATGTTCACTTTGGCGTTAGTGCCAAAAACTCTTCTTCCCTCCTTTTCAGTCTTCTTCTTCAGTTGTCAGTTCGGTTCAGAGTCGCGCTGCCGCCTAATTACATTTGTTAATTGTTTTCGCTGTTTAAAAGTGTTAAAAATTTATAAAAAATCCATAAAACAATAAATAACAATGATCGTAGGGCTGTGTTTCAAGCTTTGCTCAATATCTATCTGTTTAAATGGTGAATTTAGCTAATTTTTATGCCAGAATGCAAATGACGCTCCCGCGCACAAGTGGGGTTGTATGTGTGCGCGTCAACACATACTTACTTATGCTTATGCAAATGTAAGTACATAAATTTGCATGCATGCAAATGTAAAAGATAAACAAAGTTTAGTAAGAAAAATCAAAGCAAAAATCCCATTATTTAAATATTCCCAGTATTTAAATAATTCCTATGTAAGTGGTCTTAGAAACAGTAATTTCAATTAGGAAATTCTTTCATAGTTAAAACTTAAAAATCATTGTTTTACTTTTAACTATTATTATTATTTTTTTATTGCAGGGCGGTTTTTGGAAAAGGAAATGGAGCTACGCGGGAGAAGTGAAAGTGTTTTTATATAAGTGAAATTAACGGAAAGAAATATGGAAATGGAAAACGGAAATCCCTAAAGCAACATTCAATGAGATGGAAAATTAAGGTAAGTGGCTTTTATATATTTGTATATTGCTATTTATTTAGTTGTTAGTTAGAAAATATGATATATTTTATAATAATTATGATCAGAATGTTGACGGAAGGGAAGGTTATTTTCAAATTGGCGCGCTGGGTAATTGGTATCTTATTGTCGAGGCTTTTTTCTAGGTTTTTGTTTCACTTTGTCTAAGAAACCCAATCCTTTTCCAATGACTTTCCGTGTATTTTAAATGTATATACAATTATTATGATCCAATTAATCATAATTCTAAATGACTATTTCTTTTTTTTTTAAGTCTATTTTATATAAATCTCTTCCAAACTGCAATGACGGCAATTCTTATTATTTTTTCATCTAAAAAATGTATATCCACTCGAATTTGGTTTCCATTTGGCGCACTTAATGGCCCAATAAATTTGAAATTTGTTTTGCATCTAGTTTTTATGGCTAAATGCTGGATAAACCTGTGGACTGGAATGTCAGCCTATTTATAGAAGTAATTGTATCCTAGATGTTATTTCCCCCCTGGAATTTCCTAGGATAGTAATAAAAACAAGGCTTCACCCACACTTACTCACAATAAAAAAAAGTCGAGGGTGTCGACGGAAAAAAATCCATGCCTGCGGGTCTGATATGAACATTGTTTTTCGGTTTCCGGAGGTCGTTAAAAATTCATCGTCACGAAATCTGCCCACGAAATCGAGGGAAGATAAATGTGTGCAATTGAATGACTTGTTGAAAATATCCCAGGGATGTGGCCGAAAGTGGAAGGCAATTGGAGTAACCAGGACATCCTGTCCTGGTTCTCTTGGCTGTGCCACCCCTTTTTTTCCACCCAAAGGAATGTGCATATTGGCGGTTTGAAGATGGTAACACGAGGAATCTCAGGAAACTAAACTCCGCTTTTGGGAAAACTTTTGGGTTTTAATTTGCGCTGAGATTGGTTAAAACTTTAATGTCAGCGGAAAACTTCTAAAGTCATTTGAGCACAGAAAGAAAATAGGGAATGTAAGGAAGAAGAAGCTTTAAATTATTCTTACAATTTATTAGTAAAAATCTAGAATTATTTCTGGGCTAATCAAAACATCTTTACTTTTCCTATAAATTGAAGACATGACTTAAAGTCAAATTTAAAGCTTCACAATTTCGGTTCTGTTAGTGTAGATTGCACCCCCCACCAGTGTGGAAATTTATACCTAGATCGTGAGAGGAGAGCTTACATAAAAAGCAAGGAATCCCTTTTCGAGGACTATGGAGGATGTCCATCTCCACTGACTGGCGATACGACATGCACCACGAATGTCTGTTTTAAGCCGGACCTGAATGTCCTTTGGCACAGTGACACATAAACTGCAACACGATGCAACGTCTGCCTTTGGATATATACATACATATATGTACATATGTTTAGCCAGCTTGGTAAGGCGGATCCTTCCTGGCTTATCCTTCCGGCTGTCTAGTTTGTACGTAATTTGTATGTATGCCAGCGTGTGATGGCCACCAGTGATACTGACACAACGACAACGACGACGACGACTACTTAAAGGCACCATTAAGGACACAGCATGTCGCTAATATTCAATGCGGTCTGGTCTGGTCTGGACCGGACTGGTCTGTTATGTTATGTCCGGGTTCTGGTCCTTCTCCAGCCCCCACAAGAAGATTTTAAACATCCCCCATCGCTTGCAGCCGCTGCAGTCAGAGTCATCTGCCTGCATTTCCGTTTTAATTAAGCGCCCCGAATGACGTTGTCCGAACGGAGTTATAACATGCCTTCGTTTCTTTTGTGCCGGATGGGGAACTCCATCAAAAACACCCAAGAAACTATTACTTACTAAATATCACTTTAATGGATTCCTCTTAAAATTCGTTAGTCCAAGGAGCCTGTATTTATGTCTTTGCAAAGCTACTTACAACATTTCCAGGTCTGGCAGTTCACTGAAGAAGGTCTCGTGAATGGTTTCGAAAGTGTTTCCCGTTAGATCGCTGTAAAATATAATATTTTATATAGTTTATCTTATATAAATAGTAATTACTTGGGAAAATGAATCAGAATAGAATCATAAATAGCTTCTTTAGAAGTACGCAAATGTACTTACAGCGTTGCCAGATCATGCTTCGGTAATCGTCCTGGTATAACGGTTAACTGTTGAAATCGACAAAGGATTTCGTCCCCTCGACAAGGACAGCTAAAGTTTTCATTTTGCCACACTTAAAAAAGAGAAGAGCAGATTTTGTGTTTCTCCTTAAAGTCTTTTCCTTGATTAGATTATAAAAGTATTTATAGACATCAAAATTTGCAAAGCTACTTTAAATTATTTGGGTGTTATTTTTTGGTATGCCATATTTTCGATTACTTTGATATATTTATCAATTAGCTGTACTTACGGCACTCGCCAATGCGAAGGTTATCATGTCTGCCAAATGGCTGCTTCCTGTACAAATGATCCCAGTACTTAGCGTCCACCTCGTTTACGCAGTTGACCTCATCGGAGGCATCGTCGCAGTCGACACTTCCGTCGCAGTTGGCCCGCTGTGGAACACATTGTGCCGTGGTGTTGCAGTGGAAATAGCCACCGGGACACTTGTCATCGGAGTTGGGAACCAAGATAACCGATTCGATATCGCCCAGGAGCGATATCACTTCACGAACAGGCGCTTCCGCCTCCGCTCCGTGTTCTGTTTCCGGTTTCGTGCCGATACCCGTTCGTGTGGTTTCTGTTGTTGTCCTTGTTGCTCCTTTGGCATCTTCTGCCGCATTAGAAGCAAGTGTGAGCAGAATCGAGAGAACAATTGTGATGGGCAGGCGAGCTGTAAAGGATCATCAAGGCGATAACGATTACAAATGATAACGACTACTAATTAAACTTTCGAATAACTGACTTTCCAACCATCTGGCTTAGCTAGACTATAAATACAGTATCCGAAAATAATCACAAGATAAAACGAACGTCCAGGAAGTAAGTGGAAATTAAACATTACCAATGAAAATATAGAAAACCCAGAAAAATTCATTTTACTAATGGCCAAAGGGAATCCACAAAAGTAAGCAGCAGAAAAAGCAAGAGAAAATCTTATACAAAGGCATCGGAACAAACAGATGTTCTTGTCTATATGGCTCAATAAATTTCTTTACCAAATGGTCCCGAAATATTTGTTTAACCAATTAAATAGGTTAATTAGCATCCGATTAGCAGAACAGCGAGATGGGAGAGCTGGATGAGAGGAAGGAGCCATTTTTTCTGGCCTATTCATTGATGTTCCACTTGATGAACTCAACAACAGACTCTGGATATAGATATATATTTCGTCTATATATATATATATATATATAGACATATAGATTCGCCACCCCCTAAGTGATACTCATCTTCCCTGGAGGCTGTTGTCAGTGCATTTATCATTTTTAACGATTGCACTTAATGCGACGCAATTTCCAGCGCCCACATGGAATCGATTGAAGGGACAACGATATATGTATAGAAAGATGGGTAGTTTGAGGGAGGTTGGAAAATGTAAGTACTTATATCCGATATCTGAAGTTGCAAAATTGTAAATTGCAAATATGTAAAATGTGTAATAAAATTGTTTGTAATAAAAATTACGCACAGTACATTTGTGGCCCAATGGCGATGAAATGGTCCGTGAAATTCCCCCTTTTCGCTGACAAGCCGAACCATTTTTACATGTTCGAGTGTATAATCTATACCTCCCAGTTGGGGAATCCTTTCGATTTGTTTGGGACATCGATAAGGCAACCACCACCATCAACATCATCATCAGCATGACTCGACTTTCTGACTTTCTGATGGACACGCGGCATATCGAAAACATATAACTACCTCTACAAAAAGCAGGTGTAATTATAATGCGAAAACGGAAAAGGTAAACAAATGCAAATCAAATTAAATCGAATCGTGGATATATCAGGCTTTAGATGAACTGATACTAACGACTTTTGTGTACCCTACATGGCAAATACGAATTAAATTAATGGGATAAAGGTTAAGGACATAAGAAAGTCATTAAATTACTTGGAAGAAAGGGTTTGCTGATCAAGATTCGTTAAATTACCCTTAAAATTAACATAAAAAAACGATTTTATACCTTACATTATTAGAGCTGTTAAGTACTTGATTTAAATTCAAAATATTAAAAGGATACTTGCCCTATGTCTAAAGGGAAATAAAAAGGCTTTTCATAATTTGCTTAAAAAACATATTTGCAAAACAACAAATGGAAAATTCCAAGGAGTCGAAAACATATGGCCTGTCCCCCGGATAAACAAGGAACCCGGGATGCGCCGATGGGCGATTGCATTGCATTGGAGGTCATAACTCAGACAGCGGAGAGGACAACGGATTGCAATTACGGATGGAGAGATGGAGATGGCGATGTAGTGAAGAACCAGGACGGGAAGGACTGCCACAATGGCACTGAAACTGAAATGGAAATGACGAGGCGAAGGGGCTGTGACTCTATAAAAGTGTAATTAAGCGCGGCATCCAAAAGGGGGCTGGCTAAAGGGAAAGGGCGATCCAGAACCAAAAGCCGGGAGACAAGGACAAGAACATAGCGCATTTGACACGTGTTGCTAATGTGCTTTGGGGATGAGTAAAAGGGCATAGGGTCTAAAGGTCTAAGGGTTAAGGGGATCTAGGGTAACTTGGAACATCGGCCTCCCTATGCAATCCAATCCAATCCAATCCAAAGCCAACGAATGCCGATGGCGTATCAACGTTTTGTCAACACATTTGCGGCAAATTGAAATGTTTGATGTGTGCGGCTTGGACTCGTCTGGCTACTGCCATGATTGATGAGCCGGATCCCAGCAAGGGGCATCTCCCCCTTATTCCATTTGCCTCATATTTCTCAACCCCCCTGTCTATCTGAGAATGCAACAACAGGAGCTCCTGCTGCTGCTGCGGCTACTGCAGAAAACGCTTTACTCAGAAAAAATACTTTTACAACTTTGTAGCTCATAAATTCTCATTGAGCCACTCAAAGAGGTGCACCTCTACAGGTCTTAGTTCCCACTCTTTACACCCATTAAGAACTTTGAACACACTGTGGGAGGACCAATCCCTAATTATTACAGAACAAAAGGTTCAAGGGAAATATCATGAATGAAATGTATTTTGAGCTGGGGTTTGTACTGAAATAAGGCATTCTTCAAAACGAAATTCTTACCAAATGGCTGTACAGTGAAAGAAAAATGTGCTAACTGGTTGGGTGAGATCAAGAAGAAAGAATTCTTTAACAAATCTTAAGAATATCACCAATGGAGTTGTCTGAAAGTAAGAAAGAATCTAATGGATAAACTATGTATTTTACTGTTTCAAAACCTTAGTGATTTTCTTATCTTAGACTTTTCACTTAGTGCAAAAGTACACCTAAAACACTTTATCAGACCACCCCTTAAAATTGACTCGGATTTGTTTATCCAGTCTGACCCTTGCCTTGCCCCCATTATTCCCCACCACCTAATGCGGTCTAGAAATCGTTCGAAAGTAGCCTCAAGTGGCAATAGTTCCAGGTTTTCTTGCTTTTTTGGGGCAGTGGCAGAGGCAGCAATTAAAACGAACGAAAAGCCAATAGGCACCCACGAAAATAGAAGTCAATTGTGCTCAATGGCTAAGTAAACAAATTGTCTGCAGTTCGATGTCCGTTGTCCGTTATTTGAGATTCCCCCTCGGTATGTTCTCAAAGTCCGTCGATCAATATCAATTAGATCATCTGATGAATCAGAGTGCTTGATATTGATAATAACACTTCAGGTAATACAATTTATAACAAAAGTAAAACATTAAATCCAAACTTGATTGCTTTGTAACTATTAACAACCGGTAGATGGCGCCACATAGTGCCGCCACCTGTTGGTTAAGTTGTAAAGTTTCTTATATTATATTTTCTAATTTTCCTAATTACTTCCAAAGCAATAGTTTGATTTGCTTAATTCTTGGGACTTCAATAGATATTGATCGAATTAACATGCTTAGTTAAAGAATAATTTATGTCTTTGTTAGATTTTACCATTAATGAGCATTAGAGTGGGCGTGACCATTTATTATTAAGCATTTAGGTAAATGTTTTGTTTAATGCTTTTCACTATGAGTTGGCGCTCTTAAACAATTTGGCATCTGATTTATCTGGCAAACAAACTTTGTGCTGAAGCCGAAGCATATTAAATGGTTTCGGGATGGGTCTAGGTCCATTACGACATGTACTAAAAACAGCTGAGAAATTCCAAAAGTTTTATTCACCTCCCATGCCTTTTCGTTTCGACTGTTTAGATTCCGAGTTCGATTTTTCGGTATTGGTGTGGAATTTTTATACTCACCCAAAAATCGAACATGAAGAACAGACAACAAACCGAGAAAAGTTTTTAGCTAACAACAAAGTTGTAAACAAGAAACCGACTGGGAGGGCACCAAAAAAAAAAAAAAAAAAAAAAAATTTAAAGAATTATAAAAACAGAAGCCAATGATAAACAGAAAAGGCTGCTCAAGTGCCCATTTGCAATGGGTTAAATATATATATATATCTACCGATCTATATATATACATTCTCTCTATGCCTTGCAAATCTCTGACGGAGTTTTATTTTTAAAGTAGGCAAATGTTAAACCATTCCATTCGCAAGATTCCTTTGGGCTTTGGGCTTTGGGCTTACCACACTTAATTACTCGTTGAAAATTAATCATTTCATCGCTTTTTGCGGATATACTCGTATCCTAGGCCTGCTGCCCTAATGATTTCGTTGCTGGGTGGGTGGTCGATGGTGGGTGGTATTTGTCAATAGTTCGGCTGTTTGAACTGCCGCTGACAGCGAAGGCAAGATGCCCAAATACATAGATATCAACCAAATGAAAATAAATGCGATGCCAAATGGTTAATGCCCCATGCGTTAGCCACCGATGGGTCAGAGGTCATGTGACATACGCGGCCAGGGGAAGACCTGGCCAAATTAAGCGGTTTTCTGGCCTTCTTTTTGGTGCACGAAGAGAAAAAGGTCAGGTAATTTGGGGTATTTTGATGATTATTGCCATGAAGGAGTTTTGAAAACACTTTTTAAGGTATTTAAAAGTATGCAATATTATATTTTACATTGGAAAATTCAAAGGATTCATTGGGAAAGACAACTTTAGGGATGTTTAAAGGATTTACATTGGTATTTTATATATATTTCTCTCTCTGTACCACTCGCCCGATTTGCTTATTGCTTCTATTTGCTTTTCCTTTTTTTATCTGTCCGTCTCACTTAGGCTTCAATCAGGGTATTACGCTGGCCATTTTTCATTTTTCCACTTGGCAGGGTCAGAGGTCACATCACTCGCACACGTCAACACATATGTAAATGCCATGTGTTTTATCTTGTAGTCCTATTTGTTTTACAACAAAAAAAAAAAAAAAAAAGAAAGGAAAACTAGACCCAAGTCTAATTTCTGTCCTTTTTTTTTTGACCTAGATTAGAGCTAGTCAAAAAAGCTACGCATAATATTAATTAGATGACCTTTTCTTTGCAATAAATGTGATTCCCAAGTGAGTTTAAACTTGATTTTTGATGAGGTCGTGGTAGTAAAAATAATCATTTATAGGAATATTTAAAGAAAATCGTTTTTAAAAATAAATAATAAAATATTTGTTTTAACTGCTAAAAACAAAGGGGATTCTTATACGAAATAAGCCCCCTAACTGGTTAAATAAACTTTAAAAATAAAATAAAATATATACATATTTCTTAAATAAGCCCCAAGAGAATACCCCAAATATTCCCAATCGACTTTTCGCTCACGAACTGGCTTAAGAAAC